TGCCCTGCCCATCTCTCAAACAGGCAACAGGCAACAGGCTTCAGCTGGCTCTCACTCCTGGTGCAGGGAATCAGAGGGCAGAAGGCAGGCTGAGAACAAGGCCAGGTAGGGAGCAGGTTCTGTGCAGCATGGCTTTCCTTTAATTTCCTCTTATTATGCTATAAAGTTGATTTAATAATAAAAACATGCTTAGGACTTTTTCATGTGTAATTGCTCACATATAAAAAATTATGTGAAAATGCCTTTAATTAGTGCGCCGGTGATTCATCCCATGAGATGACACTTTGAACACTTTTATAAGGGATGCTGAGGGGAAGTCACACCTACAGTGGGGACTAACGAGCTGTGGACTCCCCAGACCCTCTGGGAGCACAGCCTCCTGGGGTGGATGTGCATGGATGAGCAGCAAGGGGGCTCCAGCACGGTGTGGCCCTGAGAGGGCCTGCCCCTCACGGACCCTTTCTGAGTCTTGGTCTTTGGGGGAGATGGATGTACCGACACCCCACAGGCTCACCGTTGTGGATTAAATGGGGAAATCTGTGGAAAGAGCTCAGGACAGTGCCTGGTACACAGTGAAAACCTGGGCAAGAGCAAAGCCCACCATCCACACCACCTGCTCTTGTCCATGTCTTCTCAGATATCTCATCTCCTACCACTCCACCTCCGAGCCCATGGTCAAGCTCTCCCTAACCACACGTGGGCAGAGCTGGGTCCTCCACACAAGACACGCAACCACGCCACCTGCAAGCTACAGGACAGCGAGCGTCCTGACCACCTGGGCACTGCCCATGGCATCAGCCAGTCCCCTTGCGGCTGCTGTCTGAAGCCTAGGAGTAGACAAGGCTGTGAAGTAAGGCCTAGAGGGAGCAGCCGGACTTTGCCGGCCCAACAGGACGCTGGGCCTGGCCTGTGACACCAAGCTCACAGAAACGAAGAAATGCCCTGATTTTTTGCATCTACAGATGAGGAAACTGAGGCATGGTGAGCAGCAGAGTGTGAGAAGGGGAAGAGGGCTGAGTCTTTCCAACAAGTCAGGCTGGCATTAGCCAGCCCCACTTCTCTCCAGAGTCACTTCCAAATGCTCCCTTGCTAGAGTTGGTCCTACCTGATAAGTGACCAACACCAAACTAAAAAGGCAGGTCACAGTAGCTCAGAGCTGAAGTAAACCTCAGGGGTGGTGTGGGCTGGCCATCCAACCTAGGCTTAACTGCCCTTCGTATTATCTCCCAATGTCGACCATTTGCCTCTGCTTGGATAACTCCAGTTGATGGACAGTTCACTGTCTCACAAGGAAGCGTCATGAGAGGTAGCCAAGCTTCTACAGTATTAGGACTTTCTACTGGAGGCTCGGTTTTCTATTCTGTAAAATGGGAAGCTTGGGCTGGATCGCTAGCTTTCCAATTGGGCTCCAGAGCTCTAAGCTTCACGGAAGGTTTCTGGTGCTGCTGCTGGGGTGACAGAAGTAGTGGGGATGGGAAAGGAGGCCCAGCAACTCGTGGGCATGTGGACTCTGCGGGCCTGTGAGGAGCTGAGCCTTCCCACTAGAGTGACAGCACGGTCCCTGCAGGAGACATGCCAGGAAACTTCAAAAGTGCATGGAATACCTGGACAGTGGGATTCTCCCGCATGTGTTTTGTAGCCTCCTGTGTCTAGGCGGCAAGGCAGAGTGAGAGGAGCCCCTGGGGAAACAGGCCGATGTCCTTAGCCCAGCCACAGCCCACCAGACAAGGCCAAGTCCCCTGCTTACCAGACACACCCAGCAAGCACTCTGCACACCTGTCGGAGGAGCCAAGGGGAGAACTTCCTCACCCATCCAAACCCTCGCTGGCCATGCAGGGGAACCCACCGGGCCCCAGAGAGCCACCCTGCATGGTGGCCCTGGGAGTCAGTCTCTCAACTGCCTGGTTAGCTGGCCCATCTGGGAGGACTGACTAAACCCCTGTGCTAAAATGGAGCACAGGAGTGCACACTCCCACTGTCGTCGAGTTCCAACCCACTGTGCGGCCTCTGCTTGCTTTGTTGAGTTTTGCCTTCTGGTTACTTAACATGTGTCTGAGTGTAGAAGCAGGGCACACTGATACTGAAGCGGTGAGCTTCTATGCAACTTCTCCAACCCCCAAAGACAGGTGCTGCCTGCATCCATAGAGATACTGAAAGGCAAGAACAAGGCAAAGCAAAGGGGAAAAGACATATTTGACTTATGCGAAAACCAACTGAATATGAGCAGCCAGAAAAGTTGGGGTCACCTATGTTTGACCCTGAAAGGGTGGGTCTGAAGGCCTATAGGAATTCACACTGCAAGCTGTAAACAAGGGCGGGAGGACTTCGCAGCTGCTACCATTCTGGCGCCTGTTCCCCATAAACCCAGACGATGAAGCCTGGGATGAGGGGCTGCTGTGTGGTCACTGCTTCACATGAGGCAAGTGCAGTCCGTGGGTCACGTTGGTGGCATGTGGCCTTCCCAGATGCAGGAAGGGTACAATCTGCTCTTCAGTGTCACGGTGGTCACGTGTAGGCCCTGCACAACACCCGTTATGGTACGTTATGCTCACCCAGACACATCTCACCCCTGCCCACTGCCTGCAGCAGCCTCCCGTCCCCCGCATTCCTCCTGCCTGCTCCAGAGAGCTGCTTCCCAGAACATGACTCAGGCCCGGCTCGCCCTAGCTCACGTCAACCCCTGCCACCAATCACTGAGGTGATGAGACCCACAGAGAACCCTGAGATGAGGGAGAACTGCAGCAGAAGCATTGAGAAGCACAGCCAGAAAATGGCCCACTCAATCTCCTGGGGTCTTAGAAACAAGGTGCCCTGGTGGCACAGTGGTTAGGAACTCAGCTATGAACCAAAAGTCAGTGGTTCGAACTGGCCAGCGGTTCCACAGCAGACAAGACATGGCAGTCAGCTTCTATAAAGATATAGAACCTTGGAGTCCCGTCCCTACAGGGCAGCTCTACCATCCTATAAGGATTGCTCTAGTCTGCACTGAGAAGCCATGGTATGTGTGGCTGGTCCAGGGCAGCAAAGCTCTGGATGCTTCTTGGCGAGAAAGCCAGAGATCTTGAAACAGGTGCCTGGCTAACTCAAATGGTCCTGCTGTGGACCTGGCCCCTACAGAGCATGCCCCATGAAATGTCAGCAATCCAGTCAAATGACCACTTAACTGGAGTCCCTGGTAGCACTTTAGTGGGGGTTCTGGCTCTCTGCAAAGACTGTGAGGGCCTGAGGCTGCTGTCCCACCCCAGGAGCTGAGTCTGGACTCCTAAGCCACCAGCCTGCCTGCAGCTCAGCATCATCTGCAAGACCTCCAGCCACCCTCTGCCTCCATGCTGTCCTAGCCACTCACTGCTAGCAATGTGGAGATAGACGGCTGATGCTCTCTGCTCCCCTCCCTGCAACTGTGTAAAGCTTAATGAGCATGTATGTGCAAGTGCCCAGCATCAGCCCAGATACCCAGATGTCAAACACATGCCTCACTCTTGCTTTCCCACCCACCCCAGCCCAGAGGCTACCCTGCTAAGTCAGGCTGTACCGGGCAATCCTTGGGCGAGTCCCCTCTCCTCCTCAAGCCTCCCCTGCTTCATCTGTAGGGTCCTTGCAGCCCTGGCATTCTCAATGCACTCAAGTAGCCCCCACTGGCTCCTGAAACTACCACTTTTTGTGCCCTGGTCAACACTCACTAAATATTTGACTGGCCAAAAGCTATAGGGGGTGGGGCACAGAGGCCTCAGCAGTGTCCCTCTCCCACCCACCGAGTTTTCCAATCCTAGGGAAAAAGGTAGAGAGAAGGCAGGAAGGCAGTGGAGGGGCTATAGCACCAAAGAGCTTATTGTGGGAATCTCCACCTTGAGGCTCAGCCTAAGTCCTTCTGGGCAAGCAGTCTCTGCTTCCGCCCTGAGCCACAGAACCACTTTCCAGAAACAGGAGGAGTGGGAGGCAGACACCTGATGCACCCTCAGACAACCTATTTTATGGGGCCTCCACAGCTCTGTGGAGGCTCACTCGTCATGAGCTCAGCACCTACTCTCTTCTTTGCCTTCCTCCTCCCTTAGTTTAAGAGCAACCAAGAGAAAGTGCTCAATGACAAGCACACACACAAAACCCCAAATGACCCAGCACACTCAACTGAAACCACCACCCCTCCAGAATGAGGTTCCTGCATCCAGCGAGCGATACACAGGGCGCCCAGTCATCAGGTCTAAACCTTCTGGGAGGCTCCACACCTGTGCCTGGCCACCCTCCAGCAGTTGGCAGTGGGCTGGGCCCCGAGGGTGCCAACAACATGGTCACTATTCTCTCCCTGGAACTGTCCACCTAGGCCAGGAGAACCCACTTAGGGGAATGCCCCTCTGTGCTCATCTCCCTCTGTCCCAGACAACTGCTCACCTCCTGAAGGTTCTCTGAGCAAAATTTGGACAGGCCCCTAGGAAGCTGAACAGCTGCTGGTTTTCCGGGGTCTGCACATTGCTTTGACCAGGCCAACAGGAAAGCAGACCCAGGGGGACAGCCTCCACATTTCCTGTGAACCCACCACATTTCTTAGTGCTCCTTCAGCTTCTAAACAAAGACTTCTGGGTAGGTGGCCAGAAATAAATGTGTCCTCAAAAAACATCTGGCAATGAAAGCAAGGTGACCCAGACTGCCACCCCTTTTTTCCCTGGCTGCTAGGAAACTCGAGATAAATTTTATGTCAAATGTTGTCTCTTCCTTCCATCAGATAGACGAAGGCTTCCCTCTTCTCTGCACTGACTTCTGGCCCTGGTCTTTGGCTGACTGCCTTTGACACCTTTGTGTCTGGACTTTCCCTATGCTCGGCCGGTTTCTTCCTGATGACGGTGCAGGTGAAACAAACTGCTAAACACACTGTGATGAACATTTCATGCCACATGGCTCTCTTGGCCCACCCCACCGAGGTGAGCCTGGGCTGCTTCCGAGGGCCCTGGCTGCTCCCTGTGCCCACGGCTTGGCGTACCTGTCATGATCCTCTGGGCTTCATAGGGTTCCATGTAGCCGGCACTCTCACCCTTGCCGGCTTTGTTCCTGAGATCATTCTTGGCGTCAAAGGGGTCCGAGTAGTCGTCAGCTATGGTCACCTGGAGGGAGAAGGACAGGGACGGGTGTCAGTCCACCCTTCTGTTCACAGCCATGCTCAACCCCCATAGCATGACCAGGCTGGCTGAGTAAGTAAGGGGGCAGAGGGGCATGGTGGCAGACACCAGGCCCAATGTCTGTCCCCAGAGGGTTGCTAAGGAGGAGGATGCAAGCTGGCAGTGTTCCACCTTGAGGGATGAACCTGAGCCTCTGCATAGACAGGGGCACTCCAGAGACAGTGGTGTGGGGCCTGGGCAGGGGCAACAAATGGCACAGGAGCGCAGAGGCAGGAACCTGTGTGTGTGTAGGGGTGTTTGGTGGATGTGAGATGCTCGGTTTGATGGCTGGAAAGGAGCACAGGGAGCCTGGAAACGCTGACAGGCTCACCGTGCTGACTGAGGCACAGAAGAGCTTGTCTTGAGATAACCGGTCTCAGCATTCCAGTCCCCCCAGTCTGGAACACAGCCATGGCCTGGGTAACCAGACGATGTGGGGAGATCAATGCACTGTCATGAGGGCTGTGGGCCCAAGGAAAACTGAAGCAGCTCAGGGGGACAGTGGACAGAAGAGCCAGAAAGGGCCTAGAGGCAACATTCCCGAAGACCTTCAATACCACGTGGGGAAACTGAGGTCCCAGGGAGTGGGGCAGTACCAAACACACAGCCTGAGCCTCTGCCTCCGACTGGCCACATTTCAGAAGCCAGCCCCTGGAGAAGCCCCAGGAAATGTGGTGAATCTGGACTCGGCAGACCACACTTGCCCCGAGGAAGATAAAACTCAGAGGCTACAAGGACGCGTGGCAGTTTTCCCTACATTTCTTACTCCGCAACTTTAACTAGGTCCCTAGTCGGCACAAAGGCTTGATGTACTCTGCCACCTAACTCAGGGTTGGGGTTCGAGTCTGCCCAGGTGGCTCTGAAAGAAATTGAAAGTCGCCTACCTACTTTCAGAAAACCATCCAAGGAAAATTCTATGGAGTATGGAGAGCTCTATACTTGGACTTGCAGGGAGCAGAAGTCAGTGGCAGCTGGAGGAACCTTTATTAGGAATGCATTTTCCATGAACCTACCAACCCCAGTCCTCAAAACACACCCGAGTGTCACCACAAACCCACTGTGACTTCAAGTCATCAGTCTGGTCACACATCTGGCCTGGGGACAAGCCTCTCAGCCAGGGCTGACCCCCTCTGGGGAAGGGGTAGGTTAGCATTGCTTTCAACCTTCCTGGTTACCTGAATTGTCATTTAAATAGTGGGTTTAATTAGAAACTGCCCTCCAGGCTTTGTCCTTTTGTCCTTGTGGTCATTCTGGGCATCAAAGGGATGCCAAGTTGTCAGGAGCGGTTGGCTGGCAAGAAAGGCTGGCTGGCTGGCCTGCCAGCCTGGAGGGAAGAAATCCCCTTCTTTGTCTGTCTGCTAATGGCAACTTGTGGCAGCAGGCCTGGCAGAGTGCAGGGCAGGGGTGACCTCGGCGACAGCTCACTTCCAGCTGCCCGAAATGTGATGCCCTCAGAGGAACAACAGGCAGAAGCTCTCACTGCCCCCAAATGAGAGAAGACTTGTTAGCGAAGACCCGGCCTCACTGGCCTACCATTTGAACCACTGTGCCCCCCACTGCCCAGCACTTCATCTTGGTGGAGGGATGGTCTCTGAGTCCCTGAGGGGGCAGCTTCCAGATGCTGACACTGTAATCATGGCCCTGAGAGAGCGCGTGCACGCAAGAGAGCTATTGACACTCAGCTCAAATGACATTAGGCAGAGGGAAGAAGAGAGAGGGTGGGGGAAGCAGGCTTGACACTGTCTTTCATTTGATACTTCTACTTTGTCTCTTGCAGAATACATTAGGAAGAAAATCATACAAGTGGACCACTGTCCAACCCAATACCTCCGCTGCCACTGATCTAATGAAAGGTCTACGACTCTGGGCACAGGGCACCACAGTCCACATGGAGGAATCAAAGAACGTGCTGTGGGTGGCATCTCGCCCAGTCTTCCTCTCTGTGTCTCTGTTCAGCATGAACATTCCCCATCTAGTCTGCAAAATCATCGTTGGGGAGGGCTCAAGAGGGGGCTGGACTGCCTTCTCCCAGATGCAGGAATCCACACTCTCCAGCCCCTCTGTAATTTGCAAACACGGACGCTTGAAGGATATAAACCAAATCTTTGTTCGCTCTGGGACAGGCGCACTGGGAGTCCTGGATTCAGCAGGCACTATCTATATTTTCTAATTAAAATGAGATCTAAGCCCTGACTGTCATGGGGCCCCCCAGCTGCCTGCCCTGCTTACTTCCGTTTCACTAAGAATTTACAAATCCTAAAACCAGGAAAAGCCCCTGGCCTCTGCTGACATGTGGTTCCAGTTATACCTGCTGACAGCCCAAAATCCTTCCGTTTAAAGAAAGAAAAAGAAAATGTTTAGAGTTCTGTTCATTTAAGAAGCAAATAAGAAGTTTATATTTAATCAATTTTGAACTTCAAAGTGAGGTGGGTGGAGGAGAGCAACCTGAAACTCAGCAAACAATACACCCAATGCGCTGACCTTTCACAAAAGCCTGTTGCCGATCTGGGAGTAAAAATTTAACCAGGCTTTAGGTAGAGTTGAGTGGGCAGTCAACCAGATGTCATGGGCACCGACCCAAGGACTCAGCAGCGTGGCCATGATATACACCGTCAGGTTGGCTGGGTAGGGCGGCTCTGCTGCATTTACAGAAAGGGACCGTGGGTCCCTAGATGTGGGGTTGGAGCCCTGCTGGGACCACTTTGCTTTGCTCTAAAATGCCCCATTTAGCAGACAAGCCCCTGAAATCTAATTGCACAATTCGACCAAAAGGGAGCCAGGCAGGACTTCTCTGCAGGTCACACCACCTGGGTCCACAAAAAGCTTTCCTTTGACTTTGATCTGAGATTGGCCAGGACCTGGCAGGACATCTGACCCCTTTGAGGCTTGTTGAGGGTCACGCAAGGCAGGGGTGGGGCAGCAGCAAGCAGGCAGGCAGGCTGCTGGAGGTAGCCACCTGGCCAGAGAGCCATCTCTCACAATTGAGGCCCCCCAGGGCAAATACACTGGCCTGCGTTGGACAAAGGCCCCAAACCCCAAAGCCAAACTCACTGACATCAAGTTGGTTCCCCTACAGGGCGGAGCAGAACTGCTTCCTAGGGGTTTCAAGGCTATAAATCTTTACAGAGAGCCAACAGCCTAGTCTTTCTCCTGAGGACTGGCTGATGGGTTTGAACTGCTAACCTTGCACTTAGCTGTCCATCACACAACCTACCATAACACCAGGGCTCCTGAAAAGGGGCAGTGATGACAAAACCCCAAGCAAGGTCTTCTTCTGTTTTCAAATAAACTACAGAACCCAGCTCAGCTGAGAGCCAGGTGGATTTTCACACTCCAGCAGCAAAGCTGGTGTCCTCTGTAGACCCAACTCAAGCCCCCTGGCTTTTCACATTACCCAATGAGGTGGCCACAGGTGCCCACCAAGCCAACCCTCACATTCCAACTCCCAGACTGGAATTCTAGAATTCCATTGTGCCAACCACCTCTCGGACAGCTGGAGACAAGAGTGGGTGCCATACACTTCCTGTCTGTTACAGAGGAGCTGCCAGGAGGGACGGGTGCAGTCTGAGGTCCTGCTGCGCCTGACTCAGGAAGCATCTGTCCTATTAGTCCCCGCAGGAAGTACTGGGACTGGTGAGCGCCAGCTTACCCACACTTCCATAGGCACAAGCTAGCATACTAGCATTTTAGTGATGCTGGAGAGCCAGGCCCTCTCCTGTGTTCTTTGTGGGAATGCCAGCTGGTAGAGCACTGTGAAGGGTAACTTTTGGTACAAACCCATTAAAATCTAAAAATACACATAACCTTACTTCAGACGTGTTACTGAGGGGGCCTGATCCCTGGAGAAGAACACAGAGGGTCAGCAAGATGGATGACACAGTGATTGTGAGGCTGGGCAGTGCTTCCAGCTGTGTGGTACACAGGCTCACTATGAATGGTAGCCGGCCTGGCATTACCTAACAACCATTTTCTCTCATCTCAAATGTGTATAGAGACATGGCAGGATGCTCACTAGGGAAGAAATATAGAAATAGCTGCAAGCAACCGCTGTATCCATTAGTAAGGTAACTGAAAGAAACAGAGCCCGTTCCATACTTCAGGGTAGTATGCAGCAGGTTTGAAAATAAACAGCCCACTGTCGTAGAGTTGACTTCAACTCATAACTGCTTTATAGGAACAACCAGCTTCATTTTTCGTCAGAGGAGCAGCAGCTAGTAGGCTTGAATCTCTGACCTTGTAGTTAGTAGCCCAATGCTTGGCTTAGCTACCAGACAGCACCACTAGGGCTCCTTGTCCTCATTGTTCTCCAGGACATATTTGTGAATGGGGGAAAAAAAAGCAAGCTGTAGCATGACCAAGGCAACAAGCTGTCCATTCATGAATCACAAAACAGACAGCTTGTAGCTCTATGTCAGTTTCAAAAACGTCTGGGAGAGACTCACCCCAAACTGACACTTCCTCTGGGAGGAGGAACAGGGACTGGTGTGGTTGGGAAATCAAACTCTGTCTGTAATGTCAAAACATCTTTTTTAAAAACCAAGGAGAGCTTATGCACTTTTTATATGTAAAGCTAGGCTTCCTATAGAACATTTTCAGTAGACTGTTTTCTAAACCTGCCTGTGGAGAACATGACGTGGAATACATATTTTAAAAACCAGCTTCCTAGACTCAATAATCTGTATAGTTAGCAAGCAACCCAGGTGATTCTTATCAGGAAAGTTGGGAAAGCATGATGCTAGAGACACCCTTCCTGCCCTGGAAAGTCTAAACACAGCCTCCAGCTAGGACTCAGGAATTCACCCTGCCTAGGATTTCTCAGCACTCTTCATTCAGCAAAATGAAGCAAGAAGCACATGTCAACTGCAGCTCTTGGCTTTCATCCCTGGGACCAACTGGAGTAAGAGATGACCCAACCCGTCCTGGTCCATCTCCAGGATCTAAGACCT